TGCTTGATCTTTCTCGACGCTTGGAATCGTGCACATAGCACGGAATAGAACCATGTCCACGTTTGGACATAGCGTACGTATCGACAAGTCGCTCGTGGACATCGCTACGTAGTTGCCAATGTGCACCACCCATGGACATGCGCTAGCTTACGGGCCGGAATAGCGATCGTAAAAACTTTTATGGGCCTGGCCACTCTCAGGCTTCTCTCTGGTTATACACTGGTATCGTGGTACTGCAGAAAATATTAAACTCGGTTCTTTTTTCAAACTTTCTCTGTTTGCATGTTGCCATTCGTCTCTTAAGCGAGAAAACCACAACCGAAAAAATTGAATATGCCGGAAAATTAGTGAGACATTTTGTTAAATGTTTCATAATAATTTATGGTCCTGAATACGTATCGCACAACGTTCACGGACTTTTACACTTAACTGATGATGTTGAACAGTTTGGGCCACTAGACAATTTTAGCGCTTTTCCCTTTGAAAATTTTATGAAGGAACTTAAACGTAAGTTACGGAAATCGGAAAGGCCATTGGAACAGATAAGTAATCGCTTCGGAGAAATGAGCTCGTGCGAAATACCACAGCGAAATGAGAAAAAGCCACACATTGGCGTAAAAAACCGCCATTATAATGGACCATTAATATCAGGATGTTGCAGTCCGCAATTTTCTAAAGTCATTTTCTCCATTTATACGCTTACAATCAAATCTCCTGATAATTGTTGCTTGATAGATAAAGACATAGTGTGTTTGGAAAATATTGCAACAGCAAGCAACGGTGAATATGTAGCAGTAGGTCGTAAATTTGAAATTGTAAGTGAACTCTACAATACTCCGTGTAGTTCCATAACTTTAAACACATATAAAGTCAGACAGTTATCTTGTTTAAAAATCTGGCCTCTGAACAAAATTGTCCTTAAATTTATGCTAATGCTATGTGCGGACGAACAATATTTCGCTGTAGTACCCCTTATAAGTACTGTTAATAAATAGAATGAAATGACTGTACATATTTGTGTGTTTCCTTATCATACCTCCCAACTATGTAGAACGATCCCAAGAATCCGTTCCATATTATAGAAGAACTATTGCTGCCTCTTCTTGCTTTATATTCGAAGCATCCCATTAAATTCATATTGTTTGATGTAGCAACGTCAAATCTTCCTTGCGTTCATTTATATCAGCTCCGGGTTTTATTAAAGTGATACACATACACGACAGCATTAACTGCTTCTGGAAGCTACAAAATAACATGTATAATATTACTCAAAAAGCTAATTAGAATAAGAATAAAACAACAATGAATACTTTATCATTTAAGATACGTATCAATCGTCCTTGTACAATATGTAGGTAAAAATTTTCTGTATCAGCATAAATGTTTGAAAAGTAAATATTTTTTCCATTTGTCATAGTATAAAAATCACTTAACTATTGTTTTTGCTATATGTAATATTTTGTACACATACTTAGTTTTCCTTTGTTATGATTAAAGATAATAAAGTTAGTAGTAAAAAAAAGCACGCAAAGATGTATATCTATATCTATAGTAAAATGGTATTTGAAACTTAATTGTAGCGAGTGCTTGTAACTCTATGTCTTGTTCTTGTACAAACAAGAATCAAAGAACACATTTACGCAGTTAAAACTAAACAGACTAATTCGGTGATATTCGAGCATTGTTTGGAGCATGGACATTCCTTTGACTTCGATTCTGTCAAGATCATATACCAAGAAACAAACTATAATAAAAGACTAACTTCAGAAATGTTGAACATCAAAATTAATAACCACACCATCAATGTAATGCAGGATACAGCCCTGCTTGACAATGCGTATCTGCCCATACTTCAACAATTTTCAAAATAGTACACATGTATGATGTCATTGTATATAAACCTTTATATTCTCACACAGGCTGCTTTCCTTTTAGAAGACACAGTCGACACAAGTCGGCACAAAAGTCATTCTGTCTTTGTTCGGTATTCAGTGAGAAACAGAGACAGAATGACTCCTGTGTCGACTTGTGTCGACTGTGTCTCCTAAAAGGAAAGCAGCCACAAACAACTCCTAGGCTGTGTTCAGTTAAGCAAGATGGAACGAACTAATGGAGGAAATGCAGGAAATACAGGAATTGGAACTAATGAATTCCTGTATTTCCTGCATTTCCTCCATTAGTTCGTTCCATCTTGCTTAACTGAACACAGGGCTGGGCTGTGTTCAGTTAAGCAAGATGGAACGAACTAATGGAGGAAATGCAGGAAATACAGGAATTGGAACTAATGAATTCCTGTATTTCCTGCATTTCCTCCATTAGTTCGTTCCATCTTGCTTAACTGAACACAGCCCTAGTACCAAAGAAGACATGTTCGTAACGACACGTTCAAACTTGTGTCCACATAAGAACTTTATCTTATTCATTTGAGAAATGTTGCGTTTACGTATAAGTGATTTGTACACCTTGATCTTTATACTTTGTTTAACTATTAATTTGTAATAATTTATAACAGACCACTGAAGATGACTTAAAAATAAAGTCGAAACGTATGGAAAATTAACAAATTTTGAATTTTTGTCGCACAACAACCTGCAACCGGTTCTAACAGCCTCAATCTACACCACGAATTATTTTGATAAGAACCAGAAAACCACTCCACACACTACCAATTAAATTATATTAAGAAATTATATTCTCCACGTTATACAATGAATATAGAGTTTCAGTTTATCCATGATTTGCTATCTGGGAACACATATTTTACGTAAACTATGCGCAAGTTTATAACACACGCGTATATAACGCGTTGTCTACAATGAGAATTTAAGCCGTAAGCCGTAAGAAATTGACCAATCACAATCGATTATTCTTCTGTAATTTGTCTGTGATTGGTCAATTTCTTACGTCTTACGGCTTAAATTCTCATTGTAGACAACGCGTAAGCCAAAAAAAAGAAAACTAAAAAACAATCAATGTATTATCTTTATCAACTGACAAAGTTCTCTATTTGATAAAAAACTGGGACACAAAACTTTGTTGTTATTGAGAAAAAAAGTAAAAATATAAATTAATCCAGTATCACATACCTGGTATGACCAAACAATCGCTTGCGCCGCTAGATGATCGTCAATAATTTTTTTGTTGATAGGTACCTGGCCGATTTGAGTTCCACCACCGAGAGGTAACAACCCTCCAAGAGGGCTGATTGTAACTTAGAGCAAGAGATGGCAATGCCTGATATGCAAGTCCTGGTGCAGCTCCTGTAGTGCTATTTCGAAAAAAAGAATCCCATGACTGTAAAAAAATAAAATAAATTTAAAGAAAATCTTTTCAGTTGTACAATAATATAAACATTTTTTTACAAAGCACATTGACAAAATGTCTAATAAAATTATTATTTAGATTAATTAAATTTTGTAAGAAAGTAATTGTACTTTATCATTAGTGTGTAGGTTTACTCACTACATGCACGCTGGTTGGATCTTGCAGCCATGCATTGTACATTTCCTCCACATAAGAGCTAGTACTGCCATTTAAGAAAGGTTCTGTTGCCACACGGCTGTTGTACTTGCGCACGAACTCGTTCTGGAAGATTATTTAAGTAGATCTGATTCTCGCCTTATACGTTCTAACCTAAAATATTAAATAAAATATAGACTGTTATTTATTATTATAAAATCAATGTACAATTAAATAGATTACCAATAAATTTAACGGAAAATATATATATATATAGATAGAGTATAATTAATCCAATATCTCACAACAATTTTGTGAAATATTGGAGAAGAGTTGGTTTTTTATTAATTGTAGCAAATTGATCAATTGTAACAATTAATTAATTAATTGTAAGAGAGTACAATGTTTTCGATTTATTGTAACGACAGTTTCAGATCTTAGGTAATTGCGGTGAAATGTACTTAGAACATTATTATATAAAAATTGCTTTTTTAAGTATCTTTGTTAACAAATATATATGTTTATCACTTACCTTCTTCAAATAGTTTTTGTGTGTGTTTCCTATTACCAGCTTTCGCCTTACTAATGGCAGTGGACTTTTCCAAACATTCACAGCTACATTCTCGTACCGAAATGGCAAAAATGGCGTCAAAAGATCGTTTCGTTTTATCAAAGAGACGAACGTGTTAGGAAGTTTATGAACGATGGCTGCGTTCCGATATTTACATTACCTGCACTGGAAATCTATAGCACGTGTGACGTGAGATATACATTTATTGTACTGGCTGTGAATATCGGAACGCAGTCAATGTTAATGGCCGCGTTCAGCATAACAAGTGCTGAGTTGTCGTCTTGTCATCTATTATATATCTGTAACATACGTCTAATGGATGTCCATAATGGATTTCATATAGATATCTATAGTGGCCGTAGTATAGATATGCATTAGACGTCTATCCGTCATCTATCATGGAGATGGAGCTGTAGATGTTGCATGGATGTCTAATGGACATCATGTTCTGTGTGGGTATATGGACCAACAAGAAAAGCGAACGTAATAGATGTTTATAAGGTCAATTTAATGCACTAAATTTAGGAAAAAAATTGAAAAAAATCCTGGTTACTTCTTTGACCTTCAAAATTAACTTTGAAGGTCAAACAATGAAAATGC